TAGAATAGATGTAATATTTGAATTAATATTAAAAGATAATAATTTATAAGATAATATTCTTGAGACTTCCATGATGCTTTCTATATAAAGATTATGCGTTTCACGGATTTCTTCCGTGCCCAGATCTATTCTTGAAATGCCAAGATTCACGAAACGTTGGCATTCCAAGAATGTAGATCTGGACACGGAAGAAACCCGCAAAACGCATAATCTTTATACATTTATAAGATATTATTTTCACAAATAAATCATATGATTACTAATATAAAATGTGATAGTGAATAGAATTACGAGTGCAAAAGTAAGTTATACATATATAAAAGATGAATAGGATATTAATAAATTGTAAAAAATATATTATCATCAATGTAAATTATATGTGTAATATTTAAAATAATTAATTATTTAATATGAACACAATACTAGTTCAATACTGAACAAAATCCAATTATTTTTAAAAAATTAATGAAATTAATGAATAAAATCTATTTTCAACTTAATGTGTGATAGTCGAAATTTATATACAGTATAAAAGATATTACGATTCTTTCACAAATCTTTCAATCAATTTGTATGAATCAGCATATATCTCGTTACATTATAACATTATTTCGTATTCTATTGCGTGTGAAATAGAAAGATAGTAATAGAGATTGACGCTTACAGAGCGTTTTTCATACACAGCATTCGTTTGTGCATCACAAATTTTCTCATTTTATAGTAATGAGACGAAAAATGACTTCAATTCGATATAGAAAATGCTGAATGTTCGATTAGAAATCATATGGAACGATCGTTGGGATACTTGCACTTTGGATAATTACACTCGAAAAATATACTTCTCATAGAGAAGCGCGTTGATGGCAGCTTGGCGTATCGTCGATGTGTTTCTTCACGTCATGCGTCAGTATCTTTTTTTCTTTATGAGCGTTGCTCTCCACCCTTTTGCTTCCTTTATTACCTGCTTTCGTTTCCGGTATTAGGTATTATGCGATATACTGTAGCTGTATATATCTAAAAATCCGCAAATGTTGAGTATTTCAGAATACTCTGTTTCCACCGTGATATCTGTCTACGCGACAAATACGTTCTTACAGTAACCTCCAATAATTTTCTACGGTAAATTCCTTCGAAAAATGCGTGAAACTGCGAGAGCTGTGTAACGCGATGTTCCCCCCAGGCTCGAGAAAAAGCTTTACCACTCGTATTCGACGAGCTGGTACTACTGCGCATGCGTGCATTTTGTCTCATTGTCAGTCTCAATTTCATCTGGGGAAATATAAATTTTTTTTATAGGCTATAAAGTAAACTTTTTAATTGGATTATATTCGCAGAAAAAGGGCGACAATATTCTCGTGTAAGGTTGAGAATTATCTCTTTTTGTACTTTTGAGTTATTTTGTGAGTACTAAAGAATAAAATTAACAAAAGCAATTATTTTATATGGACGTTCAATTATACAATATATATTTAAAGGTAAAAAATAAGTTCACTACGAAAAAAATTTAGTTATACAATATTTATGAATAAAAAAATAAAATTGTAACACATTTAATCATTTATGATTTTATAAATTATGACATAAATAAGTTCTCTTTTTTTACATACATTTTCTTATAATTTATGGATTATTTGAACGTAAAAAAGTCTTTTATTGTTGTACCGATAAATGAGAAAAAATCACTCATTATTTGGAACGGCGATGTGTGTTCTTCGTCGTTCGATGTGATGGAGCATGAACTTGTTCCATGTATCGTTGTCATTGGAAGAGTCTAAGGAAAAGACCGAATGTTATTTTGATAAACGCGTTTCATAAATATAATTATGTAAAATGCATTTCTATTCACTTTATAATTGTTGTGACTTGATTTTTTTAAGCATCTAGGAGTAGATATAGATTGTGTATTTTTATTTTTACATAATTTCAGTTTTGTATTTTTTACTTGGGGAGAAGTATGACCAGGTTTGGAATATTCATTTTGTTTAAATCTTTTGGTAGTAATAGGTAAACAAATATTATTACTTTGAGTATCCTCATCCATTTCATTATCCTTTTTAAAGTATATTATATTGGAGGTGTCCAACGATACCTAATATGTAATATAGAAAAATCTGTGTTAGTTCATTATTATATCTCTTAAGATAATCTACCTGTAATACAATCTATCTTCAATCAATTGACATTTTGTGTTAAACATCTCAAAAGTTAATACTAGCAACTTACATATGAAAAATAATATGTTTATACCTGTTCATCTTTTATACATCTTTTTCTTTTAATAGATTTTTTTGGTATATCATCTGATGAAAACTCATTAATATTTTTATGTCTAAGTGGCTTTCTCGAGCTACTTTCTTTTCTCAAAGTTTGTCGACATTCAGTATACTGAAAACAAGATAGTACATAATATATTAATTAGGAAAGCTAAAAGTACCAAGATTATATCTACATTTTTAATAATGTAACAAATACTTTTTTAATAGCATTTTGTATCGATTGTATCCATTCAGCACTATCCGCATTTTCTGAGTACAATAAGAATGTTTCATGCAAACACGTTATACGGAACAATTTTTTGCTCAGAACACAGGTTAAACTGCACTTGTTTAATGGTAGAACGCAAGATATGTTCAGCGATGTCTCTGGTTCACCTTTACAATACAACAGAGTGTCATTTAAAAGAACAAAATATCGTCTATAAGTTGAATTGCCTCGTCTCGAAACACGCATCAATGGTCCTTGTTTGATTAACATTCTACCAGGTTTGACAAGGTTAATAGAAGTAACAATGCATTTCTGAAGATTTAATAATTTTTGTGTTTCTTCATTTTGTGCGATTAAAGTATTTATGTGTTTCGCAGATTTTTCAATTTCAACCAGACATGCTGCAATTAAAATTTAATTAAAATATGCTAAAAATATACATTCAAATACATGTGAATTTTTTGGCGAATCTTAATAATGTACTTACCCTGTAAATGTCGATATTCTCTATGTCTATAAGGAGTATGTTGTAACACTTGTTTAACAAGTAATTGATATCTTGGTACTCTTTGCACTGGTGTAATTAACAACGAAGACAATTTCCTGCCTACTTCTGATCTTGTTTCTTGATCACAAATAAATTTTTTGAAGACAGAATCATTCTCTTCATTTGTCTGAAAAGATAATCTCACAGATAAATTTTAACATCCTTTTTGGATGCACTTTAACAAAAGTATTTTTTTATATTAAAATAATCAATGAAAATATGCACACGTATGTATTTTTGAATAAATATTCATATCAAAATATCTACATCTATAAAATATAAATAAACAAAATAAATTTAATTGTTTTTGGGAGCCGATATAGGATAAAAATAGATAATTTTATTCAATTAAATAATGACAATATATACGTTTCAATCCTTTGTTCGGGTTCTCTTCAATATAATAATAATAATAATAAAATTTGAATAATTCAAATATATGTATATTAAAACATGCGATAAAAACGCTATCGGATTGTCTCCTAATTAGTCATACAATACGTTTAATCTAATCTAAAATATTAGCTCATATTAATGACCTGATAAATAAATCACGCTAATTTTTCAAGAATCATATACATAATTAAATTTTAATAATAATTTTTGCGTAATACTTGACAATTACCTGTAGTAAATTTAATACTTGTGTATAATCATAAGCATAAACAGAATATAATTTAAAGAATGGTGCAAGTTTGTGGAATACTCCAGCTATGTTATCAGGATTACGTTTTAATCCTGCCACCAGTTCACCACTCACATTATATAATGTTTTTATGTTTTCAGCTAAGGTGACAAGTAATGGATGGTCCAACAATTTTCTCTTGAGAATAGGTTGTATAAAAAACTGAAAAAACATATATTGTACATACACACATATACATATACACACACACACACACACACACACACACACATATATATATAATATATAATTATTTATATCAGTAATATGAGTATATTAATAGAAAATATACTTCTGCTAAGATTTCCAGTTGTTGCAAGTAAGTAACTTCTGTAGTGAGTATTTCTTGAATGGCTTGTGATCTTAGAATTTTTTCCTTTTCCTCTGCACATTTTTCATTATCTTCATTTAAAGCATGTAGAACTGAAAAAATCATGATGTAAAACTTGCTTAAGTGATAATTACAGTTAACGGATACATTTAAAAAAAAGATATAAAAAATTATACCCTTCATACGGCTCCGCATGCTCAACATATTTCTTTCATTTATAATTAGTCTTAATTCTGAACTAAGACTAGCTTGAGGCGACAACGGTGAATACATAGTTACATATAAATAGTTATATATAAATTATTTGTGCGTATAGAAAATAAATTGACAATAATATGATAAATTCTATATTTTATTCTATTCAAAATATAATATAATGTATTCGTGGCTGAGGAATTTGCGATGCTAATTCACAAGGTACATGATCAATGTAATATAATATTTGAACTTTCCTCCGAAAATTTAAATAAAGGCTTGATTATTTGCTACTGTTGATAATTCGACACGGTGTATGTATGTGCAGCACTGTTGTGCACTATATATACGTACAGTAGTGTAGTACAGTATATTGTGTACGTTAAAATTTAAATGAAGCTTGACAGCGGAAGTAGCAACACCTGTTTATTTTAGGCCGCTATTCATAGTCAGTTTTCTTATTCAAGACCATCTTTAGTTCTGTCTTGAAATATCAACAACCAATCAAAGAGCCGCATTAGTCTTAAGATATTGGCTGCGTTCAGCAGAACACAACAGTTTTGCAATTCTCTACTGAGATAGGACCATTCCTCTTGATTTAAAAGCATAATCCAATCAGTGTGAAGAAAACTTTCCCAACAGTTGCAAAATAAACGTTCTGCTGAACGTAGCCATTATTTAAGATTAGAGCTTAAGCCCGGATCCTCATACGGCAACAGCGCTTTGACACCGTATATTGATTGGTGAAAAGCGGGTGATGGGGATAAATTTTATCTCTACAACCATTTTTATATAGTACTTTCAGGACCATTGTATAAATAAAATTATATTGTATAATATTGTAATTATAAAATATTGGGTCATCTAAAAAGTATCCGCGGTACTTTGTCACTAGATATACAATATGACCATCAACACACATCTAGTGACAAAAATCGCGGATACTTTTTAGATGACGCATATATTGTAATTATTGGTTATGTCCAGTGTCCAATGTCGACCATATCACATGATACCACGCGTACCGCCTATTTTCCTAGTTGCTCACAGTTGTCTAGTTAGTTAGTGTACCGCGTACCATGCTCTATGTAATCGCAACCTAAGGGTTCGATTACATGTATTGCACAGAAACTAACTATAGGAACCACGCAACCATGCCGCTTACGCTTTTCGCCTCTATCATATAGCGCGGTAAGCGGCACGGGCTAGTGACAAATAAACTCTAATATGAACATAGTACACAAAACTGGCGTGATGGAAAAGTGCGGAAAAAAGCACACTGAAGTCGCACGTAATGCATCATTATTTTTTTTATCTTGGTATTTATATTTATGCACTCAGATTTTGTCATTTTGTTTCATTCGTCTGGACAAAATAACGCAATTCCATCATATCAATCAGCATCAAATTTTAACCTCTCAAAATACGACGATTTATTACAAAAACAATGACGCACTCACTATTCCGCAACATCAAATGCTGAATAACACTGAGTGATTTAAATGACGCATTCTCTATTCCGAGTCCTATTCCGCACTATGTGAGTTCACCCTAATAGAGGAAAGCAAGCGGCACGTTTGCACGGTTTCTATAGTTATCAATTAGTTTCTGAACCGCATATCGTGTACTGCGCTATATGTAATCGCATCCTGACCGCATCCAATCAGGATGGGAGCCATAAAACCAGGAATCTTATTCTTGAAAAGTATCACATATGAAAAACTAGAGAAATGCTATAGTATATGTAACACATTATAGCATTAGTTTTTCCTATATCTTATAGCCCTAGTTTTTCATACGATACTTTTCAAGAATAGAGGCCCTGATGTCTCCAATCTCTTCCATGCCTATGGAGCTGATGTCTGCGTCCAATCAGGTTCGATTGTGTATTTTGAAATGAGATGAAAATTACAAAAGTGAGCAATGATTACTAGATATTAACTAATTAAAATATCAATATTATAGTGAATTTGTTCACTTTTGTAATTTTCACCTCATTTCAAGATACACAATCGACCTCCGGAGGAGCCACGTGAAACAGTTTGCCACTTTGTCTCTCTGTGAGAGTGCTGTCACATAAGGCATAATCTGTGTAACCTGTGTATTTTAGTAATTTTATTAGAGGTTACAGGTTACGCTTACGTTATACCGTCTTGAAATAATCGACTATAAATACCGGCCATAGAGACCCTCTTATTTAAATCAAAAGTTTGTTTGTCTCTGTTTTTTTTAAGTTAAAGTTCCTGCACAGTTCATCTTTCTTCCTTTTCTTTCTGCGTTGAAAAGGAAAAGATAATGGCCCACGCTTACAACGATGTTAGCGCACTAACATCCTAAGCAGAACAAGTCATTATGATATCAAAATCACTCCAAAATGATCATTAAATCTCATTTTTCAATCATTTTCGATTCATTTTAATGTCATTTTAACATTATCGTGAACTTGTTGTTCTGCTTGGGATACTATACTTTACGTTACGTATATTATAGAATTTTAGAGATAAAAGCGTGCTTTAACTCGCGCAGTAATTCTGATTATACATCATCAATACATCATCATTTTTGCTCCCGCTCCAACTGTTTCACTTCGGGACATGGATTGGCTATTAACGCTATGCTAGAGTCGTTCATGCAGCTTGCTAACGCTCCAAAGTATGTTAAGGGTGCGTTCGGGGAGGCACTATTCGCGTTATGAACGTAAACGCTACCAACGCTGTTCGTTAGAGGCAATAGCGCGATAGCGTTAGCAAGCTCCATGAACAATCCTAACGTAGCGTTGGTAGCATTTAACCAGAGAGATTTAACATTTGTCAAAGTTAAGTTAATGTAGGGGATTTTGTTTTCAATCACCGACCAAACTTTTCTCTGTAATTTAAATTTTTAGAGTTTTGTAAAGTATACGTAACGTAAATTTTTCATTTTCTTGTAATGAATAACAGAACGCAATCTCAATTGCAATCTCTATAATCCGGCTAGGGTCGGAATGAACGTAAACTAATTTAAAAAATTAATAATTATACGGACACACCAGGTGATGGAGTTGAGGATTTTGATGCACTTTTTACGTACTGTTTTTGAGCAAAAAAAAACGATACGTGTCCGGCCGTTTCAATCATAGTTTCGAAGAAATCAATTTTTTAAATTATTGTAATAATTGTATGTAATAATTGTATGTACGAGGGGTATCCAGAAAATAAGTTCCGTTTGTATTATACGTTTAGTAAGGTCGATGTATGAGCGAGCTGGCAACACAGCATTGAAGAGGGGAAGCTACCGAATAGAATGAGCGGTGTTCGGCGTCAGTAGCTCGTGAAACACGGTCAGGAGAGGTTATCAAAATGGAGTCCTCCACTTCGCGTCCCGCCATCTCCATTCCGATTCCTTCTCGAGTTGTTTTGCGCGGCATCATTCAGTTTCTTTTTGCTCAAGATTTTAAATCGGTTGATATTCACAAACAGCTTGTTTCTGTATATGGAGAGAGTGTGATGAGTGAATCTATGATGCGGAGATGGATCCGAGAATTTAAGGCAAGAAGACATTCGCTTGAAGACGAAAGTGGGAGAGGCAGACCCTCCCTTATCACGGATGAGTTGACGACAAAAATTGAAAATGCGATTCGCAATGATCGTCGTTTAACTTTAGATGAACTCCACAACCTTTTTCCAGAGATATCCCGAAGTCTTATCCATGAGATCGTTTCAGAAAAACTCGAATTTCGCAAGGTTTGCGCCCGTTGGGTTCCCAGAGAACTGATTCCTCTACACAAGGCCACACGAGTGACTGCAGGTAAAGAATTTTTGGACCGTTACATCTTTTTACGAAACTGAAGGAGTCCTTGGCCGGAAAATGCTTCCAAAGCGACGAGGAAGTTCAGATAGCTGTAACTAACTGGACTAAAGAACTGGCGGGAAGTTTCTATGCAGAAGGGATTTCGAAGCTTGTTTTCAGATATACAAAATGTATTGAGATTGACGGGAATTATGTAGAAAAAGACTAGAAGTTGTCAAGTATTATCCATGTAAATTTTAGATTTTTTCAATAAAAACTTTATTTGTAAAAAAAAACGGAACTTATTTTCTGGATACCCCTCGTATTATAATATGTAAAAATAATTATTGTAATAATTTGAAAAACATATTAGTATAAATGAAAATATGAGTATTTTTATAAATTTCATTTTAATTTAATGTTATTAGTTTTAATTACTTTTTGATTAATGAAATTTCATAATATTATATATTAGTATTATAGATAATAATTAAGCACTCATTTATATTTATTATTATCGTTGTTATCGTCGTTGTTGTTATTCACATGAACGCATAAATAAGATTGTAATGAAAACTATTACAGTTTCTGAAATTAGAAATTGGAAATTATGATTAGGAACAAGTAAGACATATGTTTGTAATTTTCTTTTGATTAACATTAATCGATTTGTTAATAATAATAAAAAACTAATCGTTTTGTAAACGTACATTGTACGGGATGATATAAATCACAAAAATAAGAAAAATATTTATTGTGAATATCTTACAAATGAATTTTAGAATGAATTCTATTTTAGAATGAAAAATTTGGTTTTCATCAAAATTGATTCTTGAAAGAAGTTATTTTCATAATGGAAATCAAATCTGCTTTCCGCCAGATACTAAAAAAAGTTATTATGTCTGCAACAAAAATTCATTCGTAAAATGTTCACAACATGCAGTAAATATTTATGTTTTTCTTGTTTTTATAATTTTGTTATGTCCTGATGACTCCATGATTCTTTTCTTTCGTGGAGAAAAATCAGTTTTTTTCTCAAATGTGAATAACTTGCGACTATCTCCATAATAGAGCATGGCCAATCGAATATCACTTTTTGGATTAATTAATTATTATAAATAACTAAACATCAGTTAAAGGAAAATAATTATTAATCGAGAGCACGTTCAGTGACTCTGTAACTCATAGATAAGCTATGATCACATTTTCCAACTCACACATAATAAACAAAACAACTCTAATCACTCCTATTTTTTCGAGAAACCTTTGATAAATAGTAATAAACCGGACATCCGTTAGTCTGCTCCTCCATCCGGTAAATTCCTATATTTTTTTTATTATTAATCTAAAGAGGTGAATCATCCATCCAAAGTCCAAGTAGCGAATTGCATCAAATCCCATATATATTGGTTATCTATAAAAAGTATCCGCGGTTTTTAGATGATCCAATATATGGC